CCGTTAAATGGATTACTTTGCTGTTTAGTAACACGGCAAAAATAGTTTGGGGTAATTTATTGAGCCAACAGATAGAATAGATGCAAACGCTAAGTTTGCCATGGAGTTAGAAATGGAAAATAAATTGCGGGTTTTCTTATTATGAAGTCTGTGATAATAAGGAGCCTGCGTCTAGCAGATGGAAACCACAGGGACCAGGAAATTGGTAGATGGAGGGATATACTGTTTCAAAACAATTACCCATTAGGATTAGTAGACAATTACATATCAATTGTAGCTAATAAAATTAGGGGAGTTTGTTATCAGACGCGGGATAGAAGATTGGACAATTCTACTAGGTTCCTGATTTTGCCTTCGTGTCAGCTTGCGAAAAAGTTGGATAAACTACTGAGGAAATGGAGCATTAAAACAATGTATAAAGAGAAATTAACACTTTCTTCAGTAGTTCTTTCGTTTAGAGAATATTCACACCCTCTTTCTGGATCAGGCTCATATGGTAAAGTATATGTGGAGGAGACCGGCCGACCCATTCACATGAGACTATGCGAACACAAAACTGCTTGTTAAGGTCTGTGCGACCAAAAATCTGAGCTCGCTGAATACATGGTCAATACAGGACACTCAATAGACTGGTCTAAAACGCAGGTTACTGAAATTTCAAGTCAAAGTGTAATATTAGGGAGTTTATTAAAATTAACAAGACAGCCAACGTGTTGAATAGGAGTAACGAGTGTAGAAAACTGAATAGTAACTATTTGTGGCTGTTGTGTAGACTTAATGAAGGGGAGAGAGAGGAGGTGCAGGAAGAGCCACAGAGCAAGAGAAGGAGGCTAGATTGGCCTCGAGTCTAGCTAGGACTATCACACTTCCCATTACATGAGCATTGAATACACACAATAGACAATAGCACAAGCCCAAACATGATTCCGCATTAGGCGATCGTACGCTAGTTTGTGTGTATGTGTGTGTGTGTGAGGAAACAGTGGCCACCGAATGCATTTTCGGTTCGAGAAGTTAACTTCACTCGTTTGAAAGCATGTAGAGTAAGGTTTAAGTAGCCAACCAAATCAAGGGGGTCTCATTAAGATCGCGATGTTAGATGTATAAAAAAGCGACTAGGGTTGCAGCCGGCAACCTTTTTCTTTTGGTTTAGTATATTTTTTGCTCTATTGCGTAAAGTATGGAATCTTGCTCTGATGATGTCTGTCACAATACAGACAAAAGCTTAGCACAGTTTCATCAAGGTCGTAGGACGGTGAGCCGAGGATTCCTTCGCACAATTCAACAATCTTCCTTATGCGACAATCCTCCTTCGGTTTCTAGTGAAACCACATCACGAATGCCCTCAAACCAACTTTTCCTTCGAAATGGAGGGTCATGTCACATTATTTCATTAAGGAACTCTTCAAAACCCACTTTTTCTTCATATCGCTAAGTTCAGACCTTTTGATATAACCTCTTCAGTGGTCATGTAGAATTCGGTTCTTGTGAGGTTTTTTAACATACTTTACTTTGCCCCTTAGATTCTTTCTGATATATTTTCTTTGATCTGATTCCAATATTAATATTCTTAATTTTCCTATCATCATTGTTTTTGATTTGATGAAATACTCTATGTCTTATTTGCACATGATTGTAATTCAACGAAATCTCCTAAATAGATTTTGTTTAATTCTAGACAAAAAATGTAATCTTGCATAACTAATTAGATGCTCTTACAAGATACCTCTTAGTTCTGCGCGGCAACTCTAGAGAATTCATAATTCTTTGATAAGTTGGAACTCTGCGCTTACGATGGTGCCTCTCATTGACGATACCGACTACGATGCCGTCGAAACGTTTGGGAATGTACCAAATCAATGGTCGAATACTGTAACTCACGAATACTATGGCAGAGGACACGGGATTAGGTATGTTCTACGAGGTCTCCCTGACGCTCCAACCAAGTTGCCAAAAAAGGTCAAACCAACACCATAATACAAAGGTTTCGAATATGAGTAAAAGTTCTAGAGACGAGTGTGATTTTCCTATATTTGGGATTTACATACTCTGCCCCTCAAATATAGTGTAGCTGAGCTTCGATGAGTATCATGCGGTAATATTGTTGTGCAAAATGTACTGACAAAGAGCTCTATAAGTCGAAGTCACCAGAGGACGACGGCCGAATCTGCAATCGTTTGAAATTGTAATTTCATTCAGTCTTAACGAATTCCACGAGGCAAGCTTTCTCACTTTTGCACAGCAATTGCTCGATTTGCGTCTGTACTAGAGCTAGAGCCCGCCTCATGTGATATCTTCTTTTGCGTAAATTGGCCTCTATACACAATTAAACAGTCAAAATTGCTGATTAATGAATTCCTTACATACAACTTTTCATAAGAATAAAAAGCCATTTGATCAATAGCAAAACAAAAGGTTATTCGAAAACGACTCAATCTTAGTATAAAAAGAGAACTTGATATTTTTCGTCAGTTTTTATTACTCATAAAGGATTTGGAAAAAAAACATTCATAAAATGGCCTCTACAAATCAATGTTCACAACCGTAGGGCAATCTAAGTTCGAATTCGGTAGAGGATATTTTACGAATCCTTTACTCTTAACATTTTATACGAAAGGAGGACTATTTAGAGGTTCTTAGAAATCCAGCTTTTTTAATTAAATGATGAGTTTTTTGTGTTTCTTGTGTCCCTCTTACACATGAATTGTTGTTTTATTGAATCGGAGATGTCCCTACATTATATAAGACTATGAAACCAATCTATACAAGTACATGATGACATACATTTTTATAAAGATGGACTCGGTATTTAAGAATGCCCCAACAAATTCCTATTGTTTTGATTTTAATTTTTTTTAAGAGGAGGAGGCAAGGATTTGTAATTAACGTTGACCAGAAACCGAGGGATTATTACTTTGTAGTAATGAATTAACTTTTTCAATTATTTATGAGACAAGGAATTTCGAGGACGAGTCTCACCTGTTAATAGGCTGTTGACAGACTGAACAGGTCTGCAGGAGAGTGCATAATAACTTAATCTTTCTGGGTTGATTAAGAAGATTCAAATTGTGATAGTGGAGTTCTTACCCAAATGCTCTGAATAAGCCTGGATTGCAGTTTATACCTGGTTCAGGTCTTATTAGCCTCCCTAAAGAGATACGAAGCCAGGTCTTGCGCATCGTGGCGACACGTTACCACACAACATTGGGTCTCAGGGTAGATGTGATTTCTTCCTAATTACAATTTGGTCTAGATTGCCCAGTACAGCGAAATTGCAAATTTCCTGTTCCTCTCTGGAAGGGTTGGAAAATGAATCATATTGCGTGTGCCTCGAAAACCAATTGCCCTTTGTATGTAATAGGCCTTAGGTGCAAGAAGCCTCCGAACTATTGTTTGTGCCCCCCTTCCAAGCCGGACTTGAGTGCCAACTCATTTTGCCTGACCGGCTAACACTAAAAATCTGCTCAAACCTCCCACCAAATCTGAAGTTTGCTCTGACCTTTCCAAGAAAACACGCGACTGTCATGAGCACAAACGGGCACACGCCATTTTGGTCACTGACTGAGGGCAGCCACGCCTCAGGCAGCAGCACGAGGGCAATCTGCCATCCTGTCGAGAGTAGCAAAACTAGTTATGGTACAAGTAGACACGCGCTAAAGAACAGCGCCAAGTGGCATTTTGCAACACCCAAAACCTAAAGTTTTCATCTCTGTACAGCGTGGATAGGCAGAGGCTAGGCAGTAGACGCAGGACTTGCTTGCTTCAGGTCCATCTATAACAAGAACAAGCATACAACAAAGTTTATGATGTATCAGTCGCCACTTCCCAACATTTCCCTGCACCCCCAACATAGCATAGCATAGAAATAGTCCATTTCGAGTGTACAGACTTGACGAATCCCTCACCTCAAACTCACCCTATTTTGGCTTGTATCATCATGTCGATAACCGTCAGGCCCCAGCGCTTTGTCCAAATCACAGTTAGTCCTCACCAGAGTTCATCTGCGTCTTATACCCTCCTCTGTAGGGTTATCGCTTCTTATGATGGTACCCCAGCGTGGGTGAAACATCAGCTTGTCCAAGATGACCTCACTTTCACAGGCAAGGCTGAACAACTCTTTAGTTCCTAGAATAATTAATATTAAAATTAAACAAAAACTAAATGTATAGATAAATACTAATAACAATTAATATAAATAAATTCTAACTTATATCTTATATCGAAGACTAGTTAGCCTTATGCTTCTCTTATAAGTAAGTTTTTCGAGACTACAGGCATATCTTTTATATATTAAAGGTATTTACCCTATCACGTTTTAGGGTGACAAGCGGGCTGGTAGTTGAATTTTTCCCATGTGAAATTCAATGCAAACTTAAGGTCTATTTATAATGCTTATCACCTTAAAACGAAATATGCTGAATAGACTTCATATATAGTTTGCTTTATGTTTGACCGGAGGAATTCTAAGACTGCAACACCTTCCACTGTTAAAAGTAGCCAGCAACTTTATGACTGAAGCCTTCCCCCAGCTCAGCACTTCCTATAACATACATGGATGGGAATCAAGCACAAGCTTATGCTTTCATACTTCGTGTACCTCATCCTGCATCCGGCGCCTTTGAAATATAAAATTGTGCTATTACATTCGACAAAAATATCTGACTTGCGTTGCCATCATCATTATCATCTAAATCTTCATAGTTATATTTTCCCCAATTCACTCGATTCCAGTTCTGTCATTCTCTAAGATCCCTTCAGAGGGGTTGAGAGAAGTGGCTGAGAGAGCAACTTTTAGTGTCGGCTCTTGCAGAGACAAGCCAAATTTCTCTGACTCTAGCATCTCCACTCTTGTGTTGTTCTAAGCCCACCCAGACTTTCACGCCTAGAGTTAGGCCTGGATGTACAAGCCCTACCCCGTCCGAACAACTGTCACATATATGTTATGCACACACTCACACGGACACCACACTTTAAGCACACACAATAACGCACACAGGCGCGCACGCTCTCGCATTACACAGTGACGGACATGATGCCAGAGACTAACACATACTAACTTTCACACCTCCCTTTTCACATACGGCAGGCCCATTTGTACATGTGGTCAATGCGACAGCACCAACTCACAGTCCTGCAAAAGATGGGCTGGAGCCCGCCCAGCTGCAGCTGTAGGTGGGTTAAGGCCACCTGAAATTGCCACTGCCAATTCTAGAGCAAGACCTAGCGCCCATGTGGCGTTCCCTTTTTATCGGTTCATTCGCATCGTCATCGCACCGTCGACTCACTGAAATGCCATCAAGACGGCCGGCGCCTTTGCGATTACTCGCGCTGGTCATGACGATGAAGAAGATAGCAGTAGTTGGCCAGGTCATGAGAAATGGGGTAGGAAAGCACTGTATTCGTGTCTAACCAATGCCAATGGTCATGGTGCATGTGTTTGTGTGTGTGTGTGAAGAAGGAAAGAAAGGGGCGAAAATGGGCTGTAAAGGTGGGGATGAAAATGCGGACCGGGCGTTACTTTGGCTGGACGAGAAGAGTTATGTGCAGGCAATTTGGCGAGTGGGGCTACTGGGGCCGTGATGTAGGCGGGATGAAAATCAGAAGGCGCCGACAAATGCGAATACAGGATCCAGAAAACATAACATACAGAATATGCTTGCAGGCCAGATTACTAGAGTTAAATAAATGGGATGAAAATTTCCCATCAGTCGGGGCAACTACTCAAAGTAATCCTTTTTTGGCGGATGGCTGCGAAAATTCGCATTAATGTAAATTGTTTAGATAGAGTCGTCCGTTTGGATCCGTTCCCTCTTAGTGGATCACGCCCCCTACTCACTAAATAACGGTAGATCTTGAATAAGAATAAAGGTTGTTGGGGGAACTTTCATTTCTTATGGAAGTGGATGAAGAAGATATTTGTAGGTCGATCTCACCAGAAAAGGACAGCTGAATCCCGTTGTACTGCAGCAATTTGGCTTTTATACGACATTCAGGTTGACGCAGTCCACGAGACCTCCTGCCTCGTTTCGTGTGAATCTCTTATTCATGCACTTTCATACGAAATGAAAGTCCCTCCAACAATGTTATCTCAGGAGATTCATTGAAACCCAGTTTCTCTTCGTTTCTACAATGTTCGTAAGGTTCGACTTCTTTTCATTTATATTCTCGTTACACTATAACCAAGAAAACTATATCCCAGCAAGTTAATTAGAATATATTGTTACAAATTTCTATTTCTTATAATGTTGTTCTTGTGTTGTTTGCTCAGTAGACGTTTTAATCTACCGACGTCCATCAATAGGGAACTTGATCAGGTATCGTGTCGTTTGGTTTAAACTAGTCTCAAGGATAACATTAACATACTACACGAACTAATTAGAACCAAAACTAGGCATGGGCAATTGCTTTCTGAAATATTGAAGGATGTGGATTTCCTTAAGTTCCAAGATATGGGTTAAGAGAGGCGACTGACAAAATGGCGCGTCGGATATACGATAAGAAGCTCCAGAATTTAGGTATTAGAATTAGGTCGAGAAACTTTGCGTCTAAGTCAAGTCGCACTAACCATGGTTGTAGCAAACTGTGAAAGGATAAGGTAATCAATTTATCTAGTACAACTCTGGAGGATAAAGTAGTACTTTTATTGGAAAGAGGATTGAATTTTGCTCTTCCAAATGGAGTAAGCCATTCTCTGGTAATACTTGTTGAATTAATTAGCTTATCTGATAGATTGCCTGAAGAGGTAAGGAATAGTATTGAACTGGAGGTGATCCTTCATTTTGGCCATATAATACCGCCAAAGAAAGATTGTCATCTTAATAGGGTTTCTAGATATCTATGTGCTAGTAATCTAATAATTATGAAAGCCGACAAAGGTGGAGCAGTGGTAGTCATGGGTAGGTCAGGTTATGTAGAGAAAATGCTAGTTCATTTAAATGACAATGACACGTATAGACCTTTATTGAGAGACATAACCAAAAGACTAAAGACTAGGCTAAAAGATGCCCTTAAAGCATGCGTAAGCAATGGTGAAATGGAGAGGTGGGAAATGAATTCAGTACTCCAGAGATATATGCAATGCCCCAACTGCTTACTGTCTCCCTAAGGTGGGTGGCTCTCTTAGATTAATTGTAAATAATAAAAGAATTATGATGCATAAATTCTCACGTTTTTTATGCATACAACTAAGGAACGCCGCCAATTTGTGGCTATATTCATGGAAAAATTCTCAAGATTTTGTGAAATTGCCTGATCAACAGACACTATCAAAAGAAGATATGTTAGTAAGTTTAGATTTTGTGTCTATGAACACATACATTTCTGTTCAGGGAGCTATTCAAGATCTGATACAAACTCTTGAAGA